ACATCTGATCAACAAGATACTCAAGTATTTGCAGGGCCAGTCTACTGACTCTAGAAGGTAAAACACTCTGACTTAGTAAACTCAAGTTACATAAAACAATTCAAGTAAAGAAAATATCTGTTATGGTCATCTTACCTTTGTGAAAAGTTTAAAGCACAGTATAACTTGGAAGTAGAGAACATCTCTTTTATGACTGTGGAATAGCAATATTTAATCTCAAAAGAGAGGTTTATGAAGTAAAGTGCACTGCTACAGTCCAGTTTTATTACTTCAATATCAAAGGATATCAGTCATGTGTTTCCTGAAAACTGCTGTCATTGACTTCACATTTCTTGTTACACTGAATAAATAAAATCAAGAGCAAACAAAATTTTAACTGGTCATACATATATATAGCACATGGATTCTGTGTGCTTCTGTCTCACTTTTCTGGTTGCTTAGCTTGAGAAACAGACCAAAAAAGGATAAAGGCTATTGAGATATGTCAACCTCTATGACTTGAAACAAATACTTTTTTTCTGTCACAGTACTCTTTCCTATGTTTCCTTGCTATTTTAGATCATGAATTTGGAATAGCAATTATGACTGTACCAGCAGTAAGCAGTAAAATAACAAACAGACTCTTCTCAGTTTTTTCTTTCTATACAACAATTCTTCTGGTCTCAGTGAAATGCAGTGTTCAGTCCTACCAGGCTATACTGGGTTCAAGTTTTGTGACATATTTTTAATCTGAGTGCTCACGCCCATGTTTTCTTTGGAATTACTCTAGTAAGACTGACTTCACACACTTCTGAGATTTCTGCAGAAAAATACCTTGATCAACTGAAAAATATTATGTCAGCCAAAATCATGCAATACATACTCTTTGTCTCTGGGACTTACTGTGCCTACCATGTCTGCAAGTTCTACTTATGGGGGGAAAAAAAAAGCCAAACCTGAGGAAAGCTTGACACACTCTGGTAGTTCAAACCCAAACAAAGCCCAGCAGCTTCTCACAGAGCACATTTCATTCCAAAATACATGGTTTCCTAAAAAAACCAATAAAATTGCAAGATTTTTGTTGATTTGGTTGGTTGTTCCATTTTTTTTTTTTAACCTAAGCTATTATTTCCCAGAGTCAGGTGTGTAAAACTGAACACAGGCAATCAGAACAGTATCATTTTGATTGTGATGCTCCAGGAGTAAATTTGGTCATGTGTACATCTTTCATTTGATGTTTCCATAATTCCATCCATAGTGCTGTTTCCCCAACTCTCCAACCACAAAACCATCTTACCCTGAAACAGCATATGCCAGCATTACCTCAAAAAATAAAGTAAGAATTTCCTCCATTTTTTCACCATGTGTAAATGCTCTTGAAAAACTCTCACCTGTTCCTCTCTTTTCACTTCGCCTCACCAAATTTTTCTGGCCTCAATCAAGGCAGATTTCTTCACTTCCTACCCAGTGATATTTTTCACTTGCTTGAAGAAATCCCTTCTCCTATTTATCAATCTCTCTTCTTTCATCTCCCGTGCAGCAGGCACCAGTGCTTCTCCTTGCTTGTCCTAAATCTCCCAGGCTCATTAGTCCTCTTCTCCACCCTTGATCTTCATCTTCTTCACCTTTGTGATTGTCTTCCACGTGCTTTCTGATATCTGTGACTTTGTGAAAACCTTTTCCCTTAGCACTGCAGTACTTCTGCTTTCTTCTGTGACCATCTCTGCATGATCCTCTAACCCTGCAGTATTTCTTGTTATTGCTGTAAACTGCTCACCTTGTACTTTGCTTGCAGGTCTGCCTCCATTGGCTTCTGAGGAATCAGACTATTTTCTTTGTCCTTTCCTGATCAAGATGCTCTGTCTTTCCACCTTCCACTCCATGAGTCATCCTCCTTTTTTGTTCTTGTGCACCTCTTAGACAAATTGATCCCACAGCTTTACTTAGAGATAATTAGTATCTCCCTCTTCCCATTTGGTGAAGTCTAAGTGATCAAACTTCCCTGCTTTTCTCATCAGCTGTTTTTATCATGCACAAGGAAGTTATTGTTCTTATAACTATTTCCAAATTTACAAAACGAATTTGGAGAGTGATAGCATTGCATTAAGCTGAAGAAACAAACATGTTTCACAATTTCATGTTATGTTTGTTTGTGCTTTTAGGGCTCTTTAGAAACACTACAGAATATGATTTTATTAGGTTGTCTATACTGCCATCAAGATTAAGCCTTGCTATGAGCTTTGAAGTTGGACATTTTTGCTTTACACAAAGCAGTGGTCAGCATAAGCACTACTGAGGTGACATTGCCCAGTCTGTATCTCAAGCATTTTCAGCTCCTATCTCAGGACTAAAATGATGAATCAATCTCTATGTCTGCTCAATACCTTGACATCTTTCTTTCTTTGGAAAATAAAGGTTAGCAACAGGATTTCTGAAAAACAAACACTTATGCACATCAACCTGAAGGGCCCCTAATTATTTTTATTTTGTAATAAGGGGAGATAGTTTATGGAACATAAACTCCCCTAAAAGGATACAGAAAATATACAATAATTTCATATTTCTGGCTAAAATATTTTCAGCTGAGCTATGTGAAGACACAAACAATAACAAGGACAACCATTCTCAAACAACCTCTTCTACCACCAATTGATGCCAACAAGAGACACTGCATTGACTTGGATCAGGTCCAATTAGGTGGAAACAGTATGTGCATGGTCCAGCACTCCAGTGATGAAATGGTTTGTTAGCAGAGCACATGGTTTTGATTAGTGGCCTAATGAACTAATTCCTTAAATCAACAGGAAATGCAGCATCTGGTCAGCACTTCATTGCATCCTCAAGCCCTGGACACATCTTACTATTGCTTCCAGCTCTCTTATGCTACCCCAGTGCATAAGAGTGTTAAGGAAGTAGTTCTTTTGAAGAAAAAATAAGTAGATATTAATATATTAATTACTACAAGCAAGACACAGGAAGTGTTGCTGGTTCCAACATTCTATGGATCAAGTTTCTGCCAACTGAGACAAAAATAGCTTAGGCCTTCTCTAGTTTTCACCATCCAGTATTTTCTACAGCATGTTCTTTGAATAACTGACCAGAGTTAATGATGTAAAACACATTTATTCATTCATAAACATATTTGTCTCTAGTAGATATTGAAGTACTTTATACTGATATTAACATGCTATATCTTATTGAGATGTTTGTGTCTGTGGCAAATAATTTTGCCTGCTTTTTACATAGTCCCCTGATCCCTACCCAAAAATTCTCATTAATAGGGATTCCATATTTCCACACAGCTTGTCAGTTTGATTATTTAAGTACTTATTCAGTGTACTAAAGACCCTAATCACCCCTTCAAAGCATGCAGCTCCATATAAGGCCTCCAATGTCTGAAATACATAAGGATCATCATCATCATAATAGCATGGCAGCTGTGCTTCCTATAAGCCAGAAAAGTTGATCCTGTACACAACAGACACACCTCAGCTACTGTGTGCCATCTGCCTAGTTAGCGGTTAGACAGCCACAGCAGATAGAAACAGCTGCTCCTGACAATATGAAAAACATCAGTACTTCCTTAAAGGCTTTGGCAATGTGGATAAACAATTTCAGTGAAAAGAATATTTTAAATTGCTGCAAATTTTCGATGCAACTGCTATTATGCATCACACCACAACAAAGTGATTATGCTCAGTAGAATGGATTTTGTTCAGCAACTCTAAGAGTGTTGAGGGATTTTTTTTTTTTTCCATGTTGCTTTTGGTTTTGCTTTTTTTCCTCAGTTTTATGGAATACCAGTTAAAAAGGGTAAGAGACAATTTTGTCCTGGACAAGGTTTCATGGCAAACTAAAATAATTTACTGTGAATTTTTTCCATTTCATTTTTTCAAGTAAAACAATTTTTACTTTTGCAAGCTCACTGTGGTCTTCACCTTGAACTACTTATTTGTTTAGGGAATTTATGTAAAGACTGGATTTCTAAGACACCTAAATACTGTGTCTGGTCTGCAGCAAAATTATTACCTATAATAAAGGAAAATAATGAACTGCTTACCATTGTGGGGATGGGAGGGTGTTTGGAAATGCAGAGAAACAGCACAATCCTTGATCTTGGCTATGTGTTGCCAAAAGGTGGATTTTACAGTGAGTAAATGTTAAAATGCAACAGATGCATAGAAAGATGACAGGCTATAGAGGATGGGTGAATGGACGTGCATTACACACACACACACTTCATACCTACACAGTTTTTTTCTTCTCCTTTGTTACTCCTTATGAATAAACAGAAAAGCTCTAGGTGTCTGACTCAGGAATGAAGCTGCTTATTCAAACTTGGGGGCTCTGTGCCCCCTTTGGAGCCCAGCTGGTTGCAGGCAGGAGGAATGGAAGACAGAACAGCTCTCTCTCATCTGCCTAACCATGCATAAGGCAGCAGACATTGCATGGTGCCTCTCACCACCTCCTTCCTGTCTGAGTGCTCACAGTCTGGACATGGAGTAGCAAATTACTATAAATAGGCACTGGTAGTGCAGAAGTCAAGCATGGAAAGGGTTAGCAGTACAGACTCCACCTCAGAAGCTGATAGGGAAATAAAACCTATTTATAGAAAAAACCCAAAAGCTATCTGGAAACATGCAATTGCTGTCTTATATTTTGTATATATTAAACTTTCTAGCTATCTCCAATAAGTATGAGATTTATATTAGTTGTGAAAAGATCAGTAATGGGAGGCAAATTAATGAGAAAACTGCTGTCACATTACAGCATACATTTTTAACAGAAGTTTTAAAATATTTGGACAAAATATCTATATATATATTAAATGTGAATTATTTAACTGGTAAATGTAATTATCTAACTCTAAAGCAAAAATATAAAAGGACAAAAATGGATTTAATCAAAATATTCTGTCATTGCCATATATAAGCTACCAGAATATCTTTTCAACAAATGAAATTATTCTTTATTTTATGCTTTTAAAAATGCATTAGTGTAATTGCTCTGCAACAAATTACCTTCTGTGCTATAAGCGTGGCTACAACATCCCTCGCATGTACATCAATTGTGCATATTGTCATGATGTTCTGATGATCACCAGGGGTGAGTTCCCCTAACAGCATGTTTATAAGGGCATTCAGTTGAGCAATCTGCAAAATAATTATATTTCAATGGAGATATTACACTGTGGGGAAAAAAAACCTATTATATGTCAAGTGCTAAATGGAGCAGTTATAGAACCAAGACACATTTATTGGTGCTTTTAATCAAAGCAAATAACTTTTGCAAACTAATAATGGTGTTGTTTTCTTACAATTTTAATTTTACTCCTTAATAACAAAAATACACTTTTCTGCTGGTTCCCAGAACTTAATTTCAGAACAGATAAATACTAGTCTAATACTGCACTTGGAATGCCAGTCTGTAACTGCACACATGATAAAGCTACTGGCGATTTCAAGTATCACATGTAGACTTTAAAACTCTGCTTCCAAACCAGTCACAATACACCTCATGTTTACTACAGGAAATGCAGGGGCTGGGGAGGGGAGAGAAACAACAACTCCTTGGGGCCTGATTGCCTTGATCATGATGACTTCTTTGTGTCAGAGGAACATGAAAAGCAGGATCCCTGGACAGCTTCCTTTATCAGACTGCTATGTAATTCCCCATCCTGATGGGAATGGTGACACTGAGGAGGTGGCCCAGAGTGCCTGTCTTCATGGCCCTGGAAGCCACTGGCAGCCACTATGAATTAGATTTATTCCAAGGCATCTGGACATCTTCATTAAAAAAGTGATTCTTCTGAACAAAAACAATAAAATATTTTTTGAATTTTTTTTGGGGGGGGGCGGGTAGTGGGAGGGAAGGGGATGGGGACCCCAGAACAGTCCTTCTAATTACACTTGCTATGAATTAACAGTAAGCACATATATGTTTTTTAAATGGTTGCAAGACAAATCTTTCTGACTCAGCCTACCAAATGTATTAAGGCACTGATTTTAAAAAGCTGATTCATGCAGAATCTCACCTTTACAACAGGAATGTTTGCACTGATGAAAGAAACAAGATTTTAAAACACACACATCCTTAGTAGATTGCTTCAGTGGAAAGTAGTGTAATTTTTTCTAGAGATCACTAGATTTTGGAATTTAAATTTTATAAACCACTAAGGTTTCACAGATTGGATTTACACCATAAGACTTATGTCTTTGTTTAAAATTACCATTTTTATACATTTTATACATTTTGTGCATAATAGGTTTGCATACCTACTAGTGATTGCAGACTTTCAGATGATTTCCAGCCATCCTCCTACATCCTTGAAGATTTCAACATCCTCAGCACAGTCTCAATATTTATCATATCAATTGTTTTAACTGATTTTGTAGTTTGTTTTCACATGCTGTTGCAGCTTCAATTATTTTTTCTGCAAAAAAGTTGCAGAGCTCCTTCTAAATTCACCGTTATTCTACCTAATGTAAATACTATTTCCTCTAACATCTTAAGGAAGTAATTTATATGAAAATCATTACTAAGTGTGAATAACATCATAGGCTTTGTCATAGTGCTTGTGAAGATCTTCTTGCTAAACCTGTTTCCTGGAAAAATGTAAAACACACAGACCTGGAACCTGGGCAGGCCAGGTGACTACAGCTGAGCACCCTGGAGGACAGAACAACCTCTATCCTAACCCCAGGCTATGAGCTACACGAGTTACACTGTGAAAGACCTCAGTCCTGTAAAACACACTGTGATCTGCCTGCTCAGAACACAGGTTTGTTATGAATAAAACCTTTGGTGTTCTGCTCTTTTCACCCAGTCTCCTTTGACTAAAAAGCTCTACTTCACACCTTATGTGAATTTGCAGAGACAGATGAAAATAACTCATTTTTTATGCTTGTCTTCAATTGTGCCTTTCTCCCTGAGTTCTAACAATAGGATATAAAAGCCTGTGAATCCAAGAGAGAGGATTTAATGGTGGTTTACCTTGAATGGAACCCATAGAGTTCCCTCAAAGGAGATAAGAGCTATAGAACAAAATACAGGGTAAAAATCACCAAACTTAATTTTCCCCCAGTACACTGTTTATGCAGTAACACAGCTCATACACTCTGCAACGTGCAGCACTGAATGAAGCTGTTTCCTACCAGCTTGAAGAGAATGATTTTGGTGGGCTACATCCAAAGACACAGCAGTGGCTCGCTCTTCATATTACTCAGTGATTGCATATAATTTGGCATCACTGAAACAATTGCAGCTCTGAAAAGGTTGAGCTCTGGGCTATTATGAAGGCTAAATTAACTCTCATCACTTGAGCGAATGATCCATTCATACCAAGGTCAAAATCACTAGTTGAGCAGCACAGGAAAGATGACACTATAGCTGACTGACCTGCAGTCGCGTACGGATAAGACTTTATTATTCTCAGGCAACCTGAATGTTACTGAAAACATCAAATTAGTTACTTACTGCAGAAAAAAATTTAAATATCTGTGAAAAAAGTAAAATCCAACCTATCTGTCTTTCTCCTGCTCACTTCGCTCCTTGGGTTCAATCAGAAGCATGAGTGCTGTAAGTGACTGGATTTGCTGAGGCAGGAATGAAAGTTCAGGAGGAAAATGAGGTGAAACTTTTCTTAGTTTTCTCTTGAAAACTCTTAAACTAGCCTGTAGATCAGGCACTTGAGTGCACTAGCAAGACAAGAGAACAGAAAAGAAAGGAGACTAGCAGGTGCTAAAGAGAAACTAGAGTCTCCCAGAGAATACAATTTTCTCAAGGAAAAACGGTTGTCTTTTTATTACTTTTTCTTTCCTTCTCTATCCCTAATTTGAGCAGATCAAATAAGAAATCTCCATGGCATAGAATAGTCCAATACTGTTTTTTCTGAAGCAAAATTAATAGTTATAATAAAAAACTTGCTTCAGAACAAAACTTTTTTGTAAATAGTTGTCCAAAAAGACAAAATATTTCAACTTTTCAGTTACTATTAATCTCCAATTTTTGAGTCAATATCAATCTCTGCATCCATCTGCACAGTTCTAAGTTCTGATGCTCCATGGCTCAGAGGAATGGAGAATCAGAAGAAGCATTCCCCAGGCAGCCCATATTTCACATGGCACGTTGCTGTGTGACTGCCTTGCATCCCATTATTGGCAGCAGTGGCTGAACTACAGGAAGACAGCATGGTATGTCATGGGATACACAGCCCAGCAGAGACTAAAGTTCCACTGGGGAGAAATGGGAAATAAAAATAACTAACTGCAGTTTCCAGTATAGGCCCAAGGGAATCAACAGCATGAACTGTGGAGCTGCTTAGTTACTGGGACCTCTGCCTGATGCCACACTACTGTAATGACTCGGTCAAAAGCAGCTGCTATTTTTGATTGAAAAGATATGGTTTAATTTCCTTTACTTGACAGGAAATTTACCCAAAGCATCATTTTCCCACAGAAAATGTTAATGTCTTTCAGATTTATTTCATTTGTTTGGGGCTTTTTTTTGGGGGGGGGAAATTTTGACTAATTCTTTTTGATTATCCAAACTTCCTGCTCCTCTCAGGAGCCTAGGCTGCATGTCAGGCAATTCTGTCCATAGCTCAGTACACACTTGTTCTGGATCCTAAGCCTAGGTGGCTTTGGTTAGGCTGGCTCCTCAAATCTACTACATTATTTCATTTCCAGTGTGTGAGGATACTTTTAATTAGAAACATAATTCTTTACATTCAGAGATTTCTAATTCAGGTTCAACAACAATCTTTCCATCATCTTTACATAAAATTACACTTCAGCGAGCCTCAAGGGGAGACAGGAAAGAATACAGACAATATCCATGCTTTGTACAATTAGCAAATGGTTCTGGGCTAACAGAACGGACAACAAAGGTACCCATTTTCCCTTGAGTTCTCCTCAGAGCTGTCTAATTGGCTGTGACCTCAGGATCCACTGAGCTTCTCCTATTAGATATAACAGATAATGTGGTCTGAACAGGGAGCCTAAGGTCTGTAGAATTATTTGCTTCATACCTTTCAATTCAGCAGAACATCAGGCAAGGAAATACACTACTCAATAATCTGACATATTCTTCACAAAACACAGGGCACTGTAGTGTACATATAACCACTGTTTATACTGCAAGGTTCTTATTGTCACCAAATTTTAAGTAACACTGTCAGATAACTTAAGTACTTTGCACTCTGTTGGTAGATGTTGAAGAAGCCTACATTTGGCTAAAAACAGTGACTAAAGAACACAACAATCTAGGATGAAATGTTTCCCTGCTCTGAATGGTTACACTCAGAAATTATCTTCAGTAAAACAACTGCAGAGAGGAAGTGGGAATCATGAAGAAGTGGGACTCCCATCTTCCAAAGGGATCATAGAATCCTTCTGGTAACAGCTCTTTTTAGAACTATTTTTAGAACTACTATGGTAGGCTTGTTAGAAATATTAGTTGTTATTGAAAGAAATTAAACCAAAGCAGAACAAAATGGAGTCCAACAGCACCAAGTCATTCTTCTGTTTTCTATACTGCAATCTTTCTATATTATCTTACTTTCTAAACAGGTGTTTGACATCATCAGAGGAAAGATGCTGTCAAAATAAAAGTATTTCCATTGTTTTAAGGTCATTGTCATTAGTATTTTTAAAGCATCATAAGCCTGAAGTTCTAATCTGCAAAACATCTCTGTGCACCAGAACAATTCTTGTTTTGCTGAAATACAAGTTAAACATTTGAGCACATAGACACATCTGGTCACCCTTCAAAATAAGGAACAGTTGCTTCGATCTGTTACGTGCACATCTGAAGCATGAACACAACAAAATTACTTTGTTGATAAATGATTCACCAGTAAGGACATCTTTTCTCCAGATGGATTCACATTATTTTAATCACGATATTTTCCAACTCATTCATGCAAAATACTTTTGGTCTGCCAATTTCTGAGAAGTTCCTTGAACATTACATTGTCTTGATAATATACTAAGGTTATAAACAGGATTCTAAATTAACTCATTGCATTGCTGGCAGCAGACTTGTAACTAGAAATTGAGTGTTTGTTTCCAAGAAGGGCTAGACCAGCATTAAGAGCTCTGGCCAGGCTTTAGGAAATTTGCTTTCACACAAGTTCTGAAAGTGTCATTTAAAG